CGTGCAGCTGTTCAAGGCGCTGGCAGCTGGCAGCTGGCTTTAGTCCTGTTTTCTTTGCATTTTGTATACGTTCGTCTTTCGTTCTTTCCTTTTCCTCGTTTGCTATGTAAAATAAATTATTAAAACTATATATGCACAATCTGGCCTCTGCATTTATTTATGCGAGAAATTATTCATTATTATTCTATAATTTCTAGTCGGAATGTGCTTTTGTTTTCATCGGAAGCTTAGTGAATCGCAATGTGCATTGCGTAGTTTGTTTAAATGATTAATGCAATTACTCAGCTGGTTCTACGATGCTGCTTCAATTGCCGCTAGGATAGAGTGGAATATTTGCGCCATTTCTGTTATTACAGCCTGTAACTTGGCACGCACTTGGCGCATCCGGAGTTTATGCTTGGCTCAGCTAACGGGCGTCCGTTTACGTCCTTTAAATTGCTCGACTGTTTTAATGCCTCAATTTGTTGACGGCAGCTCCACATCCATGTCAGCTACTCTATCTATCTCGCTCTCGCTCTCCCTCTCATTCCCTGTGTATTCGTGAGGCTCATCCAATTCGCCATTTCACATGCCACTCTTTGCTCGCCTTTGGCACTGGGCCAGCTGTATGTAGATATTGGTGCTTATGACGTTGGCCGCCGGGCGAATTTTAGTGTTTTCCCAGCTTAGAGTCGACAATGTGTGTCTACACGTTTTGTCATTAACCAACTATAAATTAATTTGCAATTTCAATAAGCTTCATTTGCTCACCTACACTGCCAAGCTCTGCTCTCTTCTCTATAATTTTTGCCCACTCTCTCGAATTACATTGCCTGAACTACTAAAACTATGTTAATTTTTGCCTTAATTGCCTAAAAACATAATGGTCTCGTGACATACACACATTCATACATACACATACGCAACGTGCATTGTCTATTGTTGGCCAAGTTGGCTAACCACTTTGCCAAAGACAATAATTCAAATGTGTTTAGCTAAATGCCTCGCCCAATTCCCATAAGGTGCATTCGCCGTTCCCAAACTAAACTGGGCCATAAAACATATTCTCAGTGCCCAAACAGCAGACAGATTCTGGCCAACAGAGCCGACCAAGTCAGCTAAGTAGCTTTGTTCACTTTCACTAGAGCCATGTGTTGGCCATGTTAGTAAGTCGCAATGCAAACGTCCAAATGGCCCTTTTATCTATCGCAGCCATCGCAGCAGCTGTTTTATTCCCATTTCTGACTTATGACAGCGGCAACGACAAATAGCATAAACGTTTTGCACATTTCTTATTTTTGTTTGCTGTATTTCTCTGCTTTGATATGTTCGCCGAAATTCATTTCATTTGCCAATACATCCATATGGATGCTTGGCTGTATCTGTTACTAATTTTAGTTTGTCTGCCTTTCGTATTTCATTGCTTTTATCTGGCTTTTTGTTATGCTCGAGCGAAAAACATTTTTCTGACATTCTCGTTGATATTTTTGATAGTCTCCGTTGCCGTTCGCTGTTCAGCCTCAGCCTCCGCCTCTGCCTCTGCCTCTACCTCTACCTCTACCTCAGCCGCTGCCTGGCTTTTCCATTGCTTGTTTACTCTATTCGTTTACCTGCTCTGGTTTCTCTCTCGCTTTTCAACTACCAAAATGTTTACGCAGTGAAAATGTATTTCTATTTACTCATTGCAAAAAAACGAGCAAATAAATAGCCAACTAGCTATAGATTCGCTGAGTGTATATATATTTATCTAGTATATATTTAACTGAAACTCATGCGTCTAATTTATTATTATTTTTTTAGCTGCGGGTGCCTGCTTTCAGTTTAAATATTTATAGAATTCGAGCGAGACAGTCATTATTTGCATTCATTAAATATACTTATATAATATATTTATTTGTTAAGCTTTGGTCAGATTATCTGGTTTATGATTTGCCAACTTGTGGGTGTGGCTGACTGTGACACATAACGGAAGTCAAGGTCAATTGTATTACATTAATTTGACGCTTTGTTTTATTGCCCATATTCTCTGTTCTATTGTGCGGTGTCTGTTTTGATGGCTCGTAAATATTCCTGGCATGGCTTCAATTATGTTGTGTAAGTGTTGAATTATGCTTTCCATTTGTTGACTTTAATTACGCTTTCAATGGCAATCAAAAGCGTTAACAGCCCTAACAGCTGCTTGAAAGGGTATGCCTGGCCAGCTTTCGAGCCGAGTCGAGCCGAGCCGAGCCGCATGCGACACTTGACACGCGACTTTGTTAAGCGTTGCCAGGCAATTGGCACAAAGCCAACTTTGCACAAGGCAAAGGGGCTGGAAAGGGTTCATATTCTGCAGCCCTCTGCTTTGCATACCATGCTGCCTTGTAGCCTTGTTGCCTTGCTGTGTGTTCCACGATTGTGAGTCGCTTTTAGCTGGGCCAACTTTTGATTCCATGCCATCAAAAGTATTTTAATTTTTTAAGCCAAATATCAACTTGAGTTGATGGCTGCTCCGCTCTTCGAGTTGATGTTTTTTAAAGCAGTTTTCTTGCAGCTGTCTGAATATATAAGTTGGCTAAGATAATATTTAGTTTTAATAGAAGCAAAGCGCTTCAATTGGGCTAATATGAAAATGCATAAAGCTTAAGCAGCAATTGGAAGTTTAAGCTGGTTTTTAGCCGGCGCCTAAAAGTATGCAATGTGAATGAGTGTGCATGTTTTTTTATGATTATGAGCGAGTCTGTGAATAGTTTCTGGTTTGTTGCTTAAACTTCTAGTAAAAGTCGCGAAAGAGTTTTAAGGAACATCTGCTTGGCTGTGTGTGCTGCCTGCACTTGTGCTGTTTATTTCTGTAGCTCAGGTAGGCTGGCAGGTGTATATTCAGCTGCTTTCATGTCTGCTCATCCCCCGTTGCCTTCGCCGAGCCTTCGCTGGGTGAAAGCTCTTTTGTCAGCTCGGCTCAGTTGAGTCGTTAATGCCTGCCCGCCCCGCCGTTTGCTGCGCGTTGCTGCGCGTATGTTGTGTGTGTTGTGTTGTCTGTTTGTTGTCTGTTGGCTGTTGTTTGTTTGTTTTCGCTTGCTTAGACCYGAATTAGTTCATCTTAGTGGTAGATGCGGCGCACGTGGCCGCATTGTTCTGCATAATATGAAACCACTCCTGCAATATGTCGCAGCTTAGGCCACGCCCACATCAGCGCGCATTTTTGTGCTTTGACTTCTCCGCCCTTTAAAGTTGCCCCTTAAGCACAAATTAAATTTAAGCTGCCGTACGCTGGCATCAACTTCTCCTGGACTCCGGCAGGTGTACTTTATGAAATAACATTTTCATTTTCATTCTCATTCTCATTTTCATTTTCATTTTCGTTTAAAACCATACGCTTGGCAGACGGCAGCGCTTCCGCATTTCGAGCGCCTGTGATTTCAATTTACTGGGATGATCATAAAAACTTTTGCCTTCAGCAAAAAAATCAACAATGACAGCGTGTGGCATGCTTTTGGGTTGTTTGGTGGCTCGACTGGGCTTGGCCGGGCTGTCGGTGCTTGTTAAATTTATGCGCCTCAAGAAACGTTTCATTTGTTAACTTCTAATGTTGGCTGACAGTTTTGGCCGCACTTGGCAACTCAATTTGCCGAGTTTTGCATTTTATTTGCAATTTGGAGCTCTGACTGCGGCGCTCAATCTATCATTTATTGAATGTGCCTCGGCCGGTTGTCGCTCGGAACGTGCTGTCAAATTGTTGTAGCACCGTCATATATACAGCTGGTCCCGGAATGTCGCCTCTTCATCAATAATGCGCAGCTCGAGCGACAGAGTCAAACACAAATCACAAATCATAAATGCCAGAGCAGGAAAAAAGTAGAGAAATTGGGATTTGATTTATGCTCAGCTGCTGCAGCTCCAATACACTCCATATATAAATATATACATAGTGTATATCTATATAAATATGTATGTCTGTGTATATGCTCGACTTTTGCCCCTCATTTATACACTATTTAGATTTCAATTACTCAGCTGCTAGCGCAATTCAAGTTGTTGAATTATTGAAGCGCTTGATTGCAGTCGAGGGCAAAATCCAAAATCCAATCCCATCGATGCCCATAGATGGCTAGAAAACCACTCATCGAATACGTATGTMTGTATGTATGTTTGAGAAGTTTAATTCAAGCAGCAAAATAGAATGGGAACTCCAATTTAAAGAGTACACTCTGATAGAAGTCATTATTTTGATGCTCTTACTTTTTACGTTTATCATTCTAATGATTGCCACTTTAAACGCCTGACGACACATCATATGATATCATTCGAGTGAGTTCTAGACTCTCTTTGTTGCCTATATACTTATTGCTGTGTGTATGTGGTAAACTGGCAAGGTAAACAGTTTCAGTGTCGATTTTTCTCTGCATTATTCCCAGTTGAGTTGGAATAAAATGAAAAATAAAATAAGGTAAAAAAGAGAAGAAAACTTTTCAGTTGCTATTGCTGCGCTGTGTGCGTGAGATTTTTCATACGCACCGTTGCTCGCAATCAGCATCAGGGAAGAGAGAGAAAGAGAGAGAAAGAGAAAATGTGCGTTGCAAGCCTTGTTATTATCCATTTCCCTCCTATCAGCTCCCATCAGCAATTTACTGGCGCTAGATGTACCTGCGCCTCGAGCTGGAGGCAACGCATGATGCTCCTTTATTTTGTGGCTTTTACCCTCCCCCAGCCTTAGCTGTTATAGATGGCACGTGATTTCGCTGGGGAGCATTTTAACTTAATTAGGAATGGTTGAAACTGGCACGCCACATACGCGATAGGCAGTTTGGGCAGGTGATTCACACTTGCCTCTCCTTTTAATCAATATATGTATATCGAGAAAAGAGACAGTGAGTGAGAGAGAGAGAGAGGGAGAGACGTGTGTGCTTTAATGCCCTTTGGCTGTCGCAAGATCTATGGCCAATTTCAGCCACAATCAATAAGCCCGTAATGCATTCATTAATGTTAATTTAACAACATTTTTCTTTTCATGGCGCCGTTTTCTTCTTCTTCTTCGCACGCAGCGCGTTTGGCCCGGCGTCGAACAACAACAGCACAGAAATTTTGCGACGTCAACAACTTCGGCGGATGACGGCGATGAGAACTGGCGGAAAAAGCACGACAAGCACAAACAGCAATCCCTGGCCACCGGTAAGAGAATCCTTTCGTCTGTTTACCCACTACCAGTATTATCGTAAATATTTGGCTTTAATATGAAAATTGATTGGCGTCGAGTGGCCAGTTGGTGTGGCACAGTTCGGGGCGGGGGGTGTTGTTCATGTGATATGGGCTGATTCAATTAGCTTCAGCTTCATTTACAGCATTCAGGGCAGCCTATGACGAAAAATACTATCAAGCACGCGACTTAGCGGATAGATTCAACTCATTTCTGACTAGACGCAAGATGCAGAATAGGAATATTAATATAGCTCGCTTAAGGAAACAGCTGTACCGGGACAGGAAGCGCTTCAATGAATTGAAACAGCGCCTGAGCGTCACAAAGTCCATGCAAGCGCAATCCGCTAAATTGCCAAACCGTGTCGATATCAAAAATGAAATTAAGAGACAGGCTTTGCCCAAAAAGCGAAAATACATGAGTGTTATGGAGTACAGTAAGTAACTGTAGTTTGTTCACTTATTAGCCTATTCATGGACTGATAGTCAATTCAAACAGGAGAGTTTAAGAAAGAGCAGCTCCTGAAAAGTTACGGCAGAAATCAGAAACGTGTAAAGATGCCAAAGACCAAGCCGAGCTGGAAATAGTAAAGAACTGAAGCAAAACTATCAAATTTGAGATGTGGAAAGGCATCGTCACAGTTGAGAATCCTCTATAGTAAATAACTCGAAATAGAACTTTGAATATTCATAATTATATTGAGCAACAGTCGGGAGCCAACAATAAAATAATACTTTAGCTAAGCTAAATGAATACTTTATATCTAAATTTTAGCTTGCATTGGTTGGTTATTAAACATGGACATCATATATTATTGAACTAAGTTCTATTTATTGAGCTGCCAATTAAATAGTTTAATTGAATCCCGCATTCAAGAATAATTTATCATAAATTGTCATTTAGTTACAGATTAGTTGAACTCACACTCACTTAATAGGACTTTAATTACCTCTGCTACAGCCCCTCCCTCCCTCCCTTTTCAGTCAGCCCCTGCAAATGCAACCGCAATGTCAACCCTAATTACGAATTCCATTCCACAGCCTCAATAATTTATAAATAAATAAATCGGCAGGCTTTAAATAGGTAAATGAAAGTTGAGCTCATTTAGATTATAATATATTTAGTTTAAATAATATAATTTTTGGATATTTTTGTTTTCTCTCTCAATATAATGAATTGTTTTGTTTTGGCTTTACCTGTAAAGCTGCGCGCTTAAGTAATGCTAGGCTAATAAAATATTATATTCCATATATTTATGTGCAGCTTAGAAGATAAACCTTATCGTGTTTACCCAAAGCCCTAAAAGTCGTTGCTTCGTTTTCCAATTGAGCATTCTGTTACATTTTGTCATCGAGGCTGTCGTAGAGCTCTCCGTCTGTCTGTCTCTTGTCTATGGARTCTCGGGAGAGCTCGGCCTGATCCGATGGCTCGGAGTGCTCGGACGACTCGGCGTGCTGCTGCTGCTCCTGCTCCTGCTGTTGACGTTCGAGATCTTTGGCTGGATCGTAGATCTCGAATTCCTCAAACTCGATCTCATCGTATTTGCGGCGCTCGTAGATGCTCCTGTCATTGGCCACGTAGTGTCGCACCACAGTTTTGTCCACAATGGATGCACTGCTGCTCGCGTTGCTCAGTCGGCGCTCCTGACTCCCTATTGGTTGTTGTTGTTGTGGTTGTTGTTGTTGCTTCGGCTGGTGTATTTGCACAGGCACAATGATTTGTTCACGAGCTGTGATTTCCGGCTTCTTGGTCAAATTCGTTAATGTTTGCTGATTGGCAGTGGGCGTGCTCGGGTTGACAACGTGCTGGCCCTTAACTTCCGGCTGTTTGGCCAGCGTATAGGCCAAATCCACATTTTTATTGCGGCACACTTTGCTGTTAGTGCCTGGCTTATCGCAGCTGCCGTTGGCGTTGGCGTTGCCATTTTCTCGCCTCGCACTTAAATCGAGGCGTATATTCATAGCCTGGCTCTGATAAGTCGCTGCGCCTCCATTCTGCTTATCATGCACATCTTGGGACTCACTCAGCTCCGCCTGCACGGCCTCCAGCAGCACATTGATGTGATTATTTACTGTCACTTGTCGACGAGCTGTCGCCTGCTCCTGGTGCTGGGCTTGTCTCTTGGCGGCGGTGCTCTGACTGTTAATGGTCAGATTGCCATCGCCAGCCGGCGGCTGTTGGCTGCACTCAAAGTGATGAACCATTTTGCGCACCACCTCGCTATCCCCCAGCAAGGAGTCACCTTCATCCGTGCCCGCCAGCTCCAGTCGGCTGCTGCAGCTGTTTGACTTGACCAGCTTGAATTTAATGCCTGCAATCGAAGACAGAGAGCAGGAGAGCGAGAAAGAGAGAGAGAGAGGGAGTAGGTGAATGATGAAATGCATCGAGCAGACGTGATTACTAGTCAGGCGTACGCTTACCCTGATACGAGTCCTGTTGCTGCTCCTCCGGCTCGTGCGTGCAGCTCTCACGGGGCGGACAAACATTGCACGACTCGATTTGACGCACCCGCAAGCGTGTAGCACTGCTCGAATTTCCATTAATCAACTGTGGATTTATCTGCATTGCTGCTCCTGCTCCCCCTGCTGCTGCCGAAGCTGTGGTTGTGGGTGCCCCTCTGTCCAGCACTCTGCCGCCATAGTAGGTAACTGTAGAACCGCATTCTCGTATTTTAGCTAGCACGTCCTGCGAAAGAGAGAGAGAGAGGGAGAGTGAGTGGGTGAGAGTGAGCAAGAGAGTGACTCGGAATTGGGCTTGGCCCGTCAGCTTAATGCGCTGTCATCAAAGCCTAATGGTCCATAAAGGCGCACGCAGCCCGTTGCTGGACATTTGGACAGTTGGACAGTTGGACAGTTGGACAGTTGCTGTTACTTACATTGCTCACATAATATGTGTCGCACATGTCCGTCTCCGCATCGTCGTCCTCATTGTCGTCGTCATGATTATCATTCTCCTGCCCCGCGTGCTCATCTTGCATGTCCGCCTCCAGCTGCGTCTGCTCCAAATTGTGCTCATAAATTTGCCGGTAGCGAGAGTCACCTGCCGCCCCGCCCACGCACCAGGTGCGCCGGCTGGCCAGCTTAGCTCTGGCCTTGGCATTCGCCGCATTGCTGTTGTGTCGCCTCACCACGTCCAGCACGTGCACGTTCTTGCATGCCGTCACGGGCGACTCTTTGGCCAGCGCCTCGGTCTGATTGTGGCACTCGCCGCAGGGCGAGGACAGGTCACCGCTGGAGATGCCGCTCGAGAGGCTGGCGTTGTCCCAGTGCTTCACCTTTTGCTCCTCCAGCAGCTCCATGCCCTTCGGCTGCTCCTCGGCCAAGGCGCGGCCATTCGATGCTGAGCCATAGCTTGTGTCTATGGTCAGATAGCGATAGCCATGCGCTCGCCGGCTCTTTGGACTCAGCTGGCAGGCGGAACCACCGAACTTTTGCTGCGCGTGGACGAGCATACCCTGGCCAGGCGTGGGCAGGATGTTCTGCTCGAAGAAGCGACGCACATTGCGCACCGTATCCGGATCGGGCAACTCTTCCTCATAGAGCTCGCGGTTCACTCTAACAGGCTGATAGAAAAAGTGTCGCTTCGCACCTGAGCCGCCCACCTGGCGCTGTCTCACCTTCTTGGGCGCCGTCGTGGCCACCTGTGCGTTTTGCCTGGGCGGCTTTGGTGGTGGTACGCCTCCTGTTCCGCCTGCTGCTCCTGCTGCTGATGCTGGGACACCCACTGTTAAGGGTCGTTCGATTTTCGTACGCACCGGCTCCACAATCACCACATTATTGTTGCTCAACAGCTCCTGGAAGCTGTAGTCCTGCAGGTATTGAATGAGTCCATCGAACTGCGCCTCCTTCTTGTTGCGTGTGGTCAGAATGTTGCTGCGAATCAGCTGCTGCGACTTGAGCACCTTGTAGCGTATATGATCGAACTGTGCCGCGTCCTCGTCATCATCGACGCCCTCCTGCCGCTCCTGCGGCGCCGCACTCACAATCGTTGCCTTCTGAGCACCATCGCCCAGCTCCACAATCTCAATCGAGGGCGGCATGATGCTGCAGTAGTCGCCGCTGYTGCCTGCTGCTGCTGCTGGCTTCTCGCCCTCTGGCGCCGACGTCACTTTGGTGCCCAGCTGGAAACTTAGCCGCGAGCTCGGCTCCTTATTGGCTGCCTCAGTGCCTGGCTCATTGCCCGCCAGCCGGTTCCAATAACATTTCACCGCATCAACTTTTTGCAGATACTCCGTGGCCACCTCGCCGCTCTCGTTGCTGACTGTGCTGGCCATGCTGCGGGCACTGCTGCGTCGCCGCAGGCTGCCGGCTCCACTGGCATTGCTGCTGTCCACAACATGCAGAATCTGTGGTCGCGACATTTTCTGTCGTCCGAATGAATCGCTGCCGGCTGTTGACAGCACCTTTATGGGTCTGGCCTTATAAATGGACGCTCCGGCGCTGAGCACTCGTCGCTCTGGCGGCTTGCCTCCTGCTGAGCTGCTGGCGCGACGCAACGAACGCTGCGAACTGGGGTGCCCGGAATTCGGGGGTGCAGTGGCTGAGCTTGACTTGCTTGGCTCCTCTTGGATCGCCTCCGTTTGAATTATGTTGTTCTGTGCGTCGGTGACAATGATGCGAAAGGATGGGGGCTGCTCTGTCTGCTCTGGTGGCTCGGGCCGCTCCTTGGCTCGTTGACGGATCTCCTGGGCACGTCGCTCAATTAGCTTGCTGAAATTTGCCACCTCAATAACGGGCGCCTCTTTCGGTTGCTCTAGCTGCAAGAGGGACACTGATTGGTTATCGTTATCGTTATTGTTATCGTTTACGCTTTGTTCGTTGCTTGAATGGTGTTCGTTAAGCTCCTCGTCTGCAATGGGTGGGGGCGGTGGGGGCAGTGGCTGCTCTTCCGCTTCAATGCACTGCTCCGCATCTATTTCCACCTCAATTGGCGCGGGAAATTCCTGTTGCACAGCTTCTTCGCTTTTCTGCACTTGACTTTGCTTCGGTGCTGCCGCCTCCTGCTGAGTTTCCTTTTTCGCTGCGTGAGTGGAGTCTGCCCTCTCGCGCTGCCTTTCACGCTCCTCGTATTCCTTTTGCCTGGCCTTCTGATGGGCACGGCCGAAGCGTCTGATGGAATCGTATGTCTCTGCCCGTGTCACCTCGCCGCTCTCCCCGCTCTGTCCTTTCTGGCGCTTGGACTCCTTGCGCTGCTGCTGACGCTGTAGATTGTAGGATGTCCGGAGCTCCTTGTCAATGTTTTCGCAAACTTTCAGACTAACACCAATATTCACATCCGGCAGACTGTGATACTGGTTCTCGACGAGATTCGATTTGTGCGTCGCTGTCGCCACAAAGGTGTCTGTGGCCTGTCGCTTCAGCTCGGGCGGAGCTGGCTGCTTTAGCTCTTCCTGCTTCAATTTCCGCTTCTCGACCACACTCAATATTCTCGGCTTGCTCGCTGCACTTGAGGTGACGCCCACATTGATGTTGCTGCTGCTGCAAGGYGCCTGCTCGACCTTGAGCACCTGTGTGTATATCTGTGCCTCTACCTTGGCTGTGGTCAGCAATGGCTGCTCCTGCTTGTGCTTTTGCTCCTGTTCTTGCTCTTTCTTTGCCTCTCGTTCACCCTCTAGCTCTTCTCCTTTCTTCTGCTGCTTCGGCTGCGGCTCGTACACAGTGTCTTCTATGGATATATGCAGCAGACTTCGTGTTTCTAGCTCTCCGCTCTCCAGGCAGCTCGTGAACGTGCGCTTCTCAAAGCTCTCACAGCTCTCGCCTATCAGAGTGCACTCGGAGCTTTCTTCGGACGATAAATAGACCGAGTCGTAGGCAATGAGCTTATCCAACTGTTCGCTGTGTGTTCGCTTTAGTGTGCCGTCGCTGTCGCTGGCTGCTGTCTCAGTGGGCGTGGCTAGGCTCTGCTCAGCCTCGGTCAAGTCGCCCTCTCCGCCGTGCTCGTCTTCGCTGCTCTCGAATCGTGTGCGTGTCGTAGTCGTTAGGCTGATCAGCTCGTAGCTCTCCTCGGCTGCACCCGAATCACTTTGCTGGAAGATTTGCTCAATGCGCGTCAGATCGTATTCCTGTTCGGAGAGCGAGGGGCTGTCGGTTTGGTCGTCCGAATTGCTGGTGGTTGTCTCTGGGAAGACGCTGCTCTGACTCAGCTCTGGGCACGACTCGCCGCCCAGATCAATGTGCCGCTGCTGATGGCAGTGATGGTGGGCCCTGTGCTGCTGCTGCTGTCGCCGGGATTGGTAGATGCGTGGCCTCTCGCTCAGCAGGGTGACTGCCTGCTCAAGTGCCTCGAACTCTAGAGAGGACGGCTGCTGCTGCTGCTGCTGCTCGGAGTGGCTCTGGTGCAGTGAGTTCTTAAAGTAATCCGAATTCAAGCTCTCTAAATCGCTTTTGTCGTTGTGCCACGGATGCAGTTGCTCACTCAAGCCCAATGCCAAGGCGTCCAAGCGTTTCAGATTATCGTAATAGACGTCAAAATCACGAGCTTCGCACTGATGTCGCTGCCTCTGTGGATGATGATGATGTTTATGTTGTTGTTGTTGTTGCTGCTGTAGCAACTGTTGGTGCTGCTGCTGATGCGAATCGCAAGTGGTTGCACCGCTTGTATTGCTCTGGATGTCCTCCGCCTCCGGCTCTGTCTGCTCGCTCGCTGCGCTTTGCTGCTGCTGCTGCTGTTTGTTGTGCAGTCTGTTGGGGGCGTCGAATCAAAATGGGAATTGAGATTATAATGATGCTATTGTTTAGCTTTTGCATTTGCTGATTGTTGACTGTTATCCGAACTAAATTATAGCCAAGCTCGGCGATTGTCTCACAATCTGGCCTTGTTTGAGCATTGAGATTCAGTCAATGCTTTGACATTGGCCCACAATCAATGCGAGTAAATATTCAGTTTATCAAATAAACAAACGGCAACAGACAACAATCGCAGGATATTCTGGAATCTGCCTAAACTAAGCTCAACTTTTGACTGGAAAGATTTCTGCAACGCAAGCTAGACTAAATGTTTTTCTAGATATTTATCGGGGCTGGAGCTAAGCTCGCATTCAGCTGAGGCTGATGAATGTCATGAACCCAAGTAAGCTTTTATTATCGCACATTTAGCGTAATTTTCTTTGTACTTAACGTGCTCAACCTTCGATCTGAGCCAAGTGCCGCCCCATCTCAGTTAACAGCTCACGTTGCTCTACTCGAGACACTTGACGTTGCGATTTGCGGCAAATTAAATGAAAGCCGAGTGCAATTGCTGCTGCTGCTGCATGGGAAGCTAGCGGAGACAGCTGCTTGTCAGTGGCCGTAATGGTATCCTGGCTAAGAGCAACTGACAGTGACATAAATCAGACAAGGATGCGCTTGCATAGCTGTCAAGCATGCCACATGCCACACGCCACACGCCACAGGCTAAACGAAGCACATTCAACTCGTTGCGACACACAGTTTTTAGCTCAATTAACAGCATCGGTTATGCAATCGCTTCGATTGCAAAACTCGCACTGCAAATGGCCGCACGCAATGTCAAAGTATAAACAATAGCGAAAACTATGAAAACTATTGCCAATCGATCGAATGCAAGAAAAAACAATTGCGCTAACCTGTTGAGCAGGCCACAAACGTCGCGTAACAACTGAAAAGATGCTCGGCGCAAACAGTTTTGACTACGTTTGACGCTTTACGTTAGACGTGGCGTATGCGTGTTTAGCTGCCAGTCATACACTAGACAGCACAATAATTAAACATCATCATGAGGCTGTAATTATGAGCTGCTTCTATTATAGATTTTGGCATAGCTAATTAAGCTGACACGTGTGAACTGTGCCAGCTAACTGGGAAAAAATATTGAATTGAGCTAATTGAGAAACGAATTTGAAGAGCTGAGCAGCAGAGACTATGCATAAGGTGATATATTTAAATTTTGGTATATGGCCTGCTAGCATGAGTAGTTCACAATAGAATGCATGTATATTCCACGTCACAAATGTTTTCTATTTACTCCTTAAGCTGCGCTCTTCAATACCTCAATCGATCTGCACTCAATTACAACTCAATATTCATCTAATGTCTAGCTTGTAGTCTAGTGTATTTCTATTGTTATTTGTTTTGGCTGTAATGACTCACCTTGGCGATTCGCGGAAAAAACCGCGATTAACTAGCCGCGCACGCGGTATGAGCTGCGATCGCCGGCGACTGCTATTTGCGGAGCCAATTTGCAGATCGCTAAATGTCTCCTCACGTATCACGGCCAAGCTGCGCGATCTGCGCAAGCTACACGATTCGCTGCCAAAGTCAAGGAATGTGGCTGTGACTGTTGCTGTTGCACCTGCCCCTGGTGTTGAAGTGGTTGTTGTTGTTGCTGCTGTTACTGTTGTTGTTGCTGTCGTTGCTGCTGTTGCTGCTGCTGCTGCTGCTGCTGTGTCTGCTGTGCTTGGGGCAGCAGGCGAGGGAGCTGCTGGCTCGTAGTTATCATTAACTAAAAAGCAATTCAATTTCGTGTTATGCTCGAGTGCATTCAACTGAAGGCCGACCGGCGGCCAGACGTCTACTCACCCGCGTAGTTGTCGACCTGCTCAAGCGGAGCTTCCGCATCGAAACGCCAGTAGAACTCGGCTATGTCCAAGGCGTTCTCCTCACGCTCCAGCTGCGTGTAGTCCAAAGAGCGCGCGTTCCTCAGCTGGCCCTGGCCAACGGCGGTGGCAATGCCCACGCGGCACTGCGTCCAGTGGGGCTGTGCGTGCGGCGTCAGCGGCGGCTGTGGGCGGTGCGGGTGGTGCGGCTGATGGTGCAGCAGTTGCCTCTGCCTGTGATCTATGCCAGCGCCAGCTGCGCCATGGCAGCTGGTGGCCAAATCGAGATGCGAGACGGATTTGTGCGTGTGTCGCCAGCCAGCGGCGCGCAGCTGCGGACAGCGTGGATCGTGTGTGGTCTTCTGGTGATGGTGGGCGTAGTGCTGGTGGTGGTGCTGATGCTGCTGCTGATAGTTCGTATCCTCCAGGCGTACGCGATCCACGTAGTTATGCTGATAGCTGTAGCTGTCCTTGCCGCTGCTCAGAGAAGAGAAGAGAAGAGAGTTAAAGTTGTAAACTAATTAAATATTTAATATTAGCTTAGCTTAACTAAGATTTCCATTAGCAAACTCTGCTCTCCCTGTTTGATTAGTTAAGACTTGGCTAACTTGGCTCCGGCACGTTTGACCATCAAAAGGCATGGCCAAGTTCTCTGTTTAACAGGTATGGGCGGCTGACCACTAAGTGAATTAAGCCCAATGTCTAGGCCGATAAACGTAAATTGGACTCATTTATTTGTGCACAACCACACACTCCCACACATACACACACACGCACACATATGTACATACAGTTAGTTGAGTATATTTATATATACATATACAGAAGCCAGAGTGTTTTACGAAACACTTTGCTCATCGAAGCATTTAAGCCAACCAATTGCTGTTGGCTCTCAGCTTTTGCCTAGATTTTCCTTTTTGCTTTTGGCTCTTTCCTGCAGCTTTATATCGACTTAAAAGGTTGCGCCACCTTGACTGCTTGGCTGTTGCTTGATATGCAGTCGCTTGTTAAATGAAGCGTGGGATATGCCACAGCTTTGGGGGGGGCACCCTCCCATTGCGACAATTGCGAGGGAAAAAGACGGAAGGCTGCTGTCTGCCAGGTAAAAGCCAAAGCTTTTTGGCATGTTGTAAATGCTGGAAGTCTGCTGCGAATTGCCTGATTGATTGGATGGCTTGATTGCGCATTTGCTTAACCATGAACTACGAAATGGAAAGCCAGAAGTTGAAAATGTGCAAGAAAACGATGGCCTTAACTGCGTTAGTTCAGGGAAAAACTACTTTAAAAACTATGCTTGATTAAAAAGAAGAAGAGTATGATATATATTTTATTATAAATGTGGGATAACACTTACACTTCGGAGGACTTTTCTTAGCACTTTACACTTTGCTTGGCTGTAGTTGCTTTGATACTAATTTGTCTTAAGAACTCACTCTTCTTTTAAAGCTTCCCAGCACAACGGCTGCGTTAAGCTCACCATCTATGCAGAGTATTTATTTCTTACTCAATTGTAATTTGGTCTCAATTTAAGTGTAAGACACTTAGGCAAGCATGAATAAAGACGACAATAATTGTTTATTCTCCTGTTTTGTTTTTGTGCATCATTTCCCGTAAAGAAGTAAACTATTTGCAATAGAAATAAATTAAATTGGCATCGTAGCGCTCAGGTGCTTACATCCATTTAATCCCCTTTATTTTGTTTACCTTTACCTGAATATTTCAACTAAATACTTTCGCAAAATAGTAAGCTTTCCGTTTGGATGGCGGGGCGAGTATGTTAATTGCTGGAGCCCACAGCAGTTGAGCTCTCGGCGTTAGACTGAGTGGGGCGGGGCGGGGCGGGGCGGGGCGGGGCTGGGCTAAAGGGCACCATTTGGGGATGCTGCCAACTTTGGTGGCGCCCATTACAATTGCAAATGTTGCCATCTAATGCTTAACTATGCGAAATGCGAAATGCGAGCCTTGCGAATGCGAATGCCAGCGCCAGGATTGTGGGGCGCCATGCTGGCGTCTGTTGCTGTTCGAGTGTCTGGGCGGCAGCTGCTGCTGCTGATGGAGCTTACTGGAACTGCTGACTCTCATATGCGACGTCTGGCCAAAGTTTATGAAGCGCATCCGCAAATAGGCCAAGCTGCAGCTGCAGCATTGAGTGCGACTCAGCGCTGACCTATATGGAAATCGACCATATGTCCGCCTCTGTGCTACCACATGTGTTGCCAAACTTGCAGGCATAGAGCACGGGAGAGAAAGTAAGCCCAAGCGTCGCATCTATATAAGTTCTTTGCATTTGTATGCATAAATCTCTCAAATATATGCATGAATCTCCATATCAAGAGATGCTTCGCTTGACATGCCTTCCCCAGATTTACTTTGGTTTTTCAACTAACCTCAATTGTCTTGGCTTTACATATGCAGCGCATGCGGTGAGGAGGGGTCAGAGGTCAGAGCTTGTGGTATGGGCCAAAGTACATATTGTCTTTGCTCTCTGAAGAATTTCGTGTTGCGCTTTTATTTTGTAATTCAATTAAAAGTTAATTAGCTGACTGTCATTAGCGTTGCCAGCCCACACACACACAGACACTCATACAGACACACACAGTGCCCCGCCCTCTTTAAGTCTTTGGCAGTGTCTGCAAAAATTTCGCAAAGCATTTTGTTTTCGTTCTTTGCGTGTTTGTCGAGCGATTTTATTTAAGTGGATTTATCTTGTGATCTTGTGAAACTTTTACCTTTAAGAAAATGTTGTTAATTTCTTTATTGCTTTTTCAACTTTGATGTTTAATACTCTGTGGAATGGGTTATTAAGGTAGGCTAAGTAAATGCCATAAAGGAATCTTATGTATAAAGTTTTAAGATGTATGCTAAAAATTAGGAGGCAAGGCAAGGTAGAAAGAGAGAGCAAAAAATCAAGGAAGAAATTAATCAAGAGAGACAACGAGAGGGAATGACTGAATAATAGAGAAAAAGCAAAAGTGAAAGAACGAAAGAGAGAGTAAAACAAACAGAGGCAAAGACTAATTGAGAATTGATTTATTAAAGACATAAATTTAGTGATGGGCAGCTTAGCTAAGGCCACATCAGCTTACAGCAAAAGAGACAGAAAAGTTTTATATCAGTAATAGCTTGACCGAACATGTCGCTGGGTATCTCCTAGTCGCATAGTCTTATCTCTTGTCGCTTTAATTGCATTTTTGCAACTTAATATCTCATTTCTTGCCTATAGAGTAGTGTTCTTTGTGCTGTTTGTGATGTGCTTTCAGCTGTAATTACTTCGAATACAGGAAAAAAAGAAAAATAAATAAAGTAAAGTAAAACAAAAACAGAAAACAACAACGCGTATACGTATTCTTTAAACATGTATGAATCGTATTTACTTACACTTATACTAGGTAAAGAAATACGTTAATTACAGTTGTTTCTCCTCCGTTTATTTGCGATTTTATGACAGTCAGCATTTGAAGTAATCGCAAATTTAATTCGGTCGCAAGTCACGTGTTTTTTGTTTTTATTGGCATTTTATTTGCAATTTGGCTTACTTAGTACGTGAGATGCATACGATTCCGTAATATAATAAAAAAGTTGCTTTTACCCTGGCTTTTTATTTGAGCCAATTGAGTTATATTCTATAAATCCAATGAAATGTTGCATGCCCCTGAATGCTGCCAAAGAATGTGTGTGGATATATATATTAAAACTGTCAGCAGCAACTTAAAATGTCATAATTTATGCGCACCAAATCAGGTTTAAAATACACACACAAAAAGAAAAATTAATATGAAAATCAATAAATTAATTTCATGAAAGAAATTTTAAACTGTTTAATGCCAGTCAAGATTTGTATTAATTCGCACACGCGAATTAATTTGCAGCTCATCATTAAAGAGCGGAGCTGCTAATTTAATTATATATGCAAAAAGCGCTAAAAACAAAAAGCAGGAAAAATAAAAAAAGCGTTAAAAAACTACAAAGAAATATTCGTGCCAAAATGGAAATGGCCAACTCGCATGACAGCCTCAAATTAATTAACACAGAAAACTATTGGGCGAATGAAAAAAATTAAATGAAAATACATAGAAAACTACAGCAGAAACAATAAGCCATGGCTAACAATTTACATGAAAAGCAGCAACAATAAACGAAGCATAAACTCGCAAAATATAAAAACTGGAAAATAAAGAACAGTTAAAATGGAAAAAATTGTTGCAATTGCACTTTTCGCACAGCATATTTTATAGTTGCCCAACTAGAATGAATGCGAACAAATATTAAAGACCTGAGACAGAGATAGAGATAGAAATAGAGAGAAAGAATAAATAATATAAAGTCAGGCAGGCAAACACACTCAAGCAATCAGAGCATAGACATTGAAGAGCCGATGAGCTGAAGAGCCGCAGTCAGAGGCAGCGGGAGGAAGTGGGCAAGGGGGAGGTCTGTGGCGCAGTCGGTTGAATTGAATTGCCTAAAAGGCAGCTGCCAAAAACCTGATGACAGAGCCACAGGCAGCGCCAGGGAGACGCGAAGCGACACAATACGCGACATTTGCAATGACATTTTCGAAAATTTGCCAATTTCCACGATGATTCCATCGACAGGCAACAGCAACAGCAACGACAACAACAACAACAACAATAACGAAGCGTCGAATGACGCTAATGGCGCCGCAGGCCTCGAAATGCGACTGCGGCGAAAATTACAGACAAAGGGAGAGAGGCTGGGGTGGGCGAGTGAGAGTGAGAGTGGGAGAGTGGCGACTAGGGCATCACAAAGTTCTCAATTTATGCCCGAACAGCGACTGTCTCTAATAAATGCTAAATCAATTTACTCGGCCTCTGCCTCTGCCCAGCCACAATTCGTTTGCCAGCCATGACAGGAACATGATTCCCAACAATTTCAATTGCAGCCATAAATCATATGGCAATGGCAGCGGCTGCCAACTATAACGAATAATTAGTGTGCGACAGTGCAACCTGCAGCACACTTGACCACAATGAGTGCTCGTAGCAAATGTTAGCCAAGGCAGCGAAGCGTTTTGCCAAAAATGTTTGCATATGATAAAAGTTTACTACTCACGAACAGACAAGTGCTGATGTTTTTATGGCTTTACACAGCCATAAAGTCCACTCGAATCTTAGTATAACTTTTCAATATTAGTTATTTTGTATAGCAGCCAAGATATATATTTTGGCTATAGCCAAGTTTTCAAAGTTTAGCTGCCTTTGCCCTGTGGTAAATTAGGCGAGCATCAATCATTTTTCCATTATGCCCGGCATAATTAATGGCCGGCAAGATGGCGCGCTAATGCGTGCCACAATTACCTTTATCTATGTATGTGGCAATCCTTCGCGTTGGCCCAATGCAAATAGCAATAGTCGCATTAATTTACTCATTGACAGCGTTGCCGTAGATTCTTAATGATGCTGCGTATTCTCGTTTTCGCCATAAACGCAAATATTGACAAATTATGCGTGTGCGTGAGTGTGTGTGTGTGTGTGGGTGTGTTTGCTGTCTTGTGCTGTGTATCTTGCGGTTGGCCCACATTGACGCCGGCGCCGCGGCCCAGTGCAAATAAACAGACACTTAAGCCACGCTATTTGCACAGTTTTCGCCCCGGCCGCAGATTCGCTCGGCGAATAGACGGGACGAACGGCGTTTGGTATAGATGATGCAGCTTTCTACTGCCAATGCCGCCTTTTGCACACTTTGTTGATTTTTGTGGTTAGGGCAGCAAATGCTTTTATTGTGCATGAAATTGCCAAAAAAAAAAAAATTAAAAACACAGAGTAACAAAAACACACGCCAAGTCTAAGCTACATAAAACACAAACAACGCTCGCTTTGTATTCCGTTCTTCGCCGTCTCTTTCGCTCGCACGTTCGCTCGCTCGAGTTTTATGCACTTGTTTTATTTTCGCCGCACTTTTCGCAGCGACTCTCACCGCGGCTCGCGTTTGTTTGTGTTGTGTCGTGTTGTGTGCGCGTTTGCGCCTCGCGAAAGACTGACGCCGCTTGCGACTGCTGCGCGCGAGCTTTGCGGCCAATTGTAACGCTGCGACTGCGCAGCGTTGACGCTGCTGCCGCCGCTTTGTTTTTTTTTTTTTTTTTTTTCACTGCCAAACATTTTTCATGTTTCCCGCTTTAGCCCGCCCGCCGTTGTCGCTGATGCTTAAGGTTAATAAAATTACATGCCACAGTTGCCACAGCAACAGCAGCAACTACAACAATAACAATGAAGTAATTTTGTGAGCCTATAAACCAAAATTTCTCAAGTTTTACGTTGATTTATTTAATTTTGCCAGCGCGTACTTTTAATGCAATTTTTGAACTTTAGTGTGACATTTTCCAACTTTTGTTATCTTTTCTTTTATTTTTCTGTTTTCGCTCTCAAGTTTGTTCAACACATTTGCTTGCATTAATTGAGTTTCGCTGCTGGGCACAATTGAAAGGTAAAAGTAATTTATGTAGCTCAATTAATGCAAACTCAGCTGCTAACTTTTGGCCATTAAAGTGCTTTTAACGCTTTGCGAATTGCCAGCAATTCTGTTGCCTGAAACTTTGCCATTTCGGGCACTCAAAAGTACGATTTGAGTATGTCTCTGGCCCCCGCGAGCCGAGTGAAAGGTTGCTCAAAGGCCTGTTGAATGGCAGGTGAGTGTGTAGAATCTCGGCCGAAGGGGATGCTGCCAGCAATGCGACAGGTTTTTGGGTCTCGAATTGCAAGCTCAATGCGACTTTTCGAATTGAGAATTGAAATAATATTTTGAGTGGAGATGTGAGCACGTTGAACTCAACTGGGAGGATGAGCTTTAAAGCAAGACTTGAATTTGAATTGTATGTAATCTAAGTTGTATGTCTAACTGGATGACAGATTTTTGTAATGGCTGAGTCAAGTGTCTTTATGTAACTATAATCCAAGTTATACTAATTTAATAACATAAATCAATTAGCTCTTGAGCCATTGCTGCAATATCGTAATAGCGACAAATGCTTAAAAGTGAAATAAATTTAAAGTAAGCTCAAGTGATGTTGGCAATGCCAAAGGGTCGCGCGGCTGGGTGGCAAGCAATGAACTCGGCTGAACTGTGAGCACACCAAACAGCAACAACAACCACAATCACACCAACAACAGCAACAACAACAAGAGTGACAAGTAAACACGTTAATTGAACTCTTGACGTGCCGCTGGCTGGTGTGTTTCTGTTGGTCTTGCTTTGGCTATTTCGTCATCACAGCCACAGCGTCACCTAGTTAACTGTTATAAGCGAGCGCGAGTTGGCCAGAGTGAATGAGTGAGCGAGTGTGAGTGCGAGTGCGAGTGTTTTATGTTTGGCCTGATGCACAGCAACAATGGCAGCGGAAATGCGTTACTAACACTAATGCAGTGGCAGTCAGACGAAGCACACACTCAGTGCCGGAAGTGAGCGAGTTGCTCATAAAAATACACATACATATGCACAGAGCGACAGAGAGAGAGAAACACTTTTGGGCGTGTGTGTCACCCGTATGTGTCGCTGAATAGAGTTGCTGCACGCAGTGAAGCGCGAATTCATTGAAATGACGTAAAGCAAAAATTTGTAAAAGCAGCGCCCCAAAAGACAAACTCTCCCTCACAATTGCCCCGGAATGGGGCACGGAGGGGCATTTTGGTCAGCGAAATGAGTTGAAAATGTTTTGACGTCTGACGACGCATGCAAATGGCATGCAAGCCTTTTGGACACGGCTCTCGTTTCGAATTACACTTTGGGCCAACTCCTGCGAGGGGCAGCAAGGGTTGCTGCTGTTCGCTCAGAGCACCTCGGCTGGCTTTTGTTTACAGCTTGCGCTTATTCTCTCTGCTCGCTGGCCGTAACCAATGGAATTTACGCTCATACATGAATTTTTATTTATTAAAAAAAAAAGCATGTTTGCCATTCCATGTGGCAAAAAGCGATTTTCGTGTCATAAATTAAGTCAACTGCGACGACCAAAGCTAACATTTTGTTGCTTTGTTTTTCGGTCTTTCTCCATTTCTCTGTGTTTGCGCAATATTTGCTGGCCGTGGCCTGAGCATTTGTCTTCACTGCGGCTGCTGCGCACATAAAGAGGTTGTCAAGTGCTGTTTGATGGCCTGCAGGATGCGCCAAGACTGCAACAAAAACACAGGACAAGCGACAAGCTCAAGGCTGTGGCCGAGCAGGAAGTGGAGCGAAAAGCTTTATACAAATGCATATATATA